TTCCTTTAAGAAGATTAGCATATAGGCCTTGGACCTGTCCTCCTAGCACATGAAATTTGATAGGCAATTTTCTTCATCTTCAGGTATCACAGATTTACTTGTCAAGAATAAGCCACATTAAATGGGAGGGGCAAAGACCACTGTACAGACCACCACTAGAAGCATCTTTCCATTAAAGATCCATCAAATAGACTGGCCAAAAAGCACAGTTTTTTTTCATTTACACTTTTCATATAATTCCAACTCAGAACAGAGATGCGTTAACCAACAGAAGATCCAAGAAATGAATACTATTTCTGTCATGCAACTCTATGCTTCTACAGATAACTAATTTGTACCTTAAGCTTCAAAGCAGCTCAAGGAAAGCTACGCAAGGTCCTTAAAGATAGTTACATGCTTCATCCAAAAACATCTCAGCCATAAACATTTAACATGTCAGTCAACTCAATATATTTCACGAAGTATATCTTCATATACTGCCCTGTACCTATGCAATTTTTGCCTGAATGCACACTGTGAGCTGTCACCTGATCAAATCGTCACTGCAGTACCATTTGACAGTGACAGATACAGCTCCTTAAAACAGCTTATGAGACTACTTCTTTTAAAAAAACTGAACAGTTTGGTTTGTTATATATAACATGATGACTCAAACTAAGGCCAGAATTCTACCAGAAAGCATGCAAGTTGACCTCCTGCTCAGTAAAACGGATAGTAGGCATGTACACCTGAAAAACAAACCTGCCACAATAACGTTTTTCTGATATTTGACTTTCCATCATTTTTCTCTCACCTCAAGATTCCTCTTCCCGCATACTGAAAAGAGTTCACACATTTTCTTTTCCCAAACCCCCAGTTAATAAAAGACAATTTGCCATTTACAGACTATACTGAACTGCGCTACCAAGAATATTGGGCTTTTTTTGGCAAACAGTAATTGGCTGCAATTTCAGTAAGCAACCTTAGAGGTTACCCTGAACATTGTGGTCAGAGCTCATTAAGCTGTTGGTATGAAATATCAATTAAACTTCTTCCACCAGAGCTCCATTCAATGGCTATGCTGCCACATTGAGATCTAACAGCATTTAGAAATAGACTGAGATGAAAACATCTGATTACTACTTTTTATTCCATTCCATCAGCTCAGTAACGACTAAGCCAAAACAATGTCTTTCCACTCATGGGGTTCCTGTGATTTAGTATCTGCCAGGTCTCCAACTGTGCTTCCTTGCCTTGTTCCTATGTACTCCTGATATTTAGAAGCTGTCACATTAATAGTCAAATCTCAAGTTCCTCACTTCACAGATTAGAGAAGACTCAAGGTATGGGAAGAGCAAAAACTAGCCTAACTGCCCTAACTTTACATGGATAATAAACTGAACGATTGGGAGGGAGCATCAACTGCTGCATCATTGCTTACAGTGTTTCCACAATGTTTTCCATTTACAGCAAAACCATAAAGTAAAAAAAGAATTTTGAATTTGTGTGTCTGCCAGACCGCCAGTGGTCAGAAGACCACAACCAAACTGCTGAAAGCTACACAGGCTACACACATCTCAAGAAAAGCCTGAATTAAAAGCAAAACAGAAAACAAGCAAAAAAAAAAACACAGCAGAAGCTCCAAGTTATTATTTTTAAACAAAGCTTTTGAAAGCCAAAATTAAATATCAGGTTGCTTTCAAGACAAGGAAAGCTCCCTTTCTTTAAGAACATTCAAAACATCTCCTCCCCAGGAGTTACTGGAAGCTACTTTGAAGTTAGAGTCTCCACTCCATTATTCAGGCCATCCTCACATTCACATTCCTAAAAAACAGTGATTTCAGCTGTGCATATTCTACCAAGCTGCAACATTCGATCCTGAAGTCAGTGAGAAAGGCCAAAATCATTTTTTTTGTAAGCAACCTGAATGACCAAGAAGAAGAATTATAAATGAAGCAGAACACATACATTTCCTGATGCATCCTGAACCTGACAAACTCAATGATGTTCACTTCTGTATAGTGTGCCTACCCACTCAATACTTGAGCTCAGAACACCAGCCTGGGAAGCCTTCACTGACTGTGACTAAGACAAAGAAGCCAAGGAAGCTTCTAGATGCCAGAATTGCCTTCCTAGCTATTGATATCAACAATACAAGCATTTCTGTCAAAAAAGGCAAGTCTTCTCCCGCTGCCTCATGATATTTTAATGACCATTGGCTTTTCTATCTCTCCGGTCATCCTAAAGCGTATTAAATAGGTACCTGGCTAAGGCACGTAAGGCACTCCATACAAGCCGAGGCTCACGTCAGCTGAGATTACAGGCGCTCCTTCCTTCTCTTTGCGTTTCTCACCAGGCCGCGTACCATACCGATTGAAAGTTACCTTGTATAAGGAACCATTCTGAAGAGTGGACCGCTAACGCCTAAGGACCCCATAATCAATCTGCCTATGATTTTGCCAGTCAGTCTTACTTTACGTAAATTCTGTGGAAGGTTCCTTTCATACACCTAAGCCAGATGCTTAACTCTCACCTGTCTCTAGACCACTTTCATCCCTCCTTGCCTTGCACCACCACTGTGAAACCCAATGGGCTCATCTCAAGCAAGGAACAAACTTTGAGCTATTCAAGTGCCTGTAGGATTGCTAGATGTCACAGTTGAACACACGAGTGCAGCTGCCTAACTTTATGCTTTGAGAACTTTAACCCACATGGTGATATATATAAAATACAGGTACTACAAAAAAAAAATAAACAGACATAACTGCTTGTTGAGACACACACTCACTGCGTACAATTTCTTTTACGACAATTGGATAAAATGGTTCTAGTACCAACTTCTGCAGTCAAAAAATGCAGAGTAATTCTTTACCGTGGAAAAACTCTAATACCTTAGCTCTTAATCATATTGGTCTCTTCTGTCCCTTTTTTCTTCCCTATTTTAATATCTAATACAAAAGTAGACTATGTTACTTAAAATCCAAACTGCTTATAAAAAAAGCTCAGGGAAAAGCTTACAGATTTACAGTGGACTACTTCGAGGACACAGTTCAAAAAAGCAGAAGCACACATTCAGCTTAATAGGTTACAAATATAAAACTAGTCAGCAAAGTAACTGTGTGTGACTACATATGCAAATAACAAGAAAGGGGCTTTGGTCTTTATTTGCCCTTTCCAGCAATACCTACCCAAAAAACCTCACCTTATATGAAAGCAAGTTGAGAATGCTTCCCTGAACTTGTTTCAGTATGACTCTTAAACAGCAGCTACTGCCAGGTTCAGAGAGCGCTTGGGACAAGATCAAAATGACCAGGACTCTAAAGCAGCCTTCGCTTGAGCTAGGAAGAGTCACCTGCTTTCACTGACGATGAATCTATTCCTGCTATTGGCAGTGTGAGGAGGTTTCAAGCAATGCACCCTTCCTAGCGGGGACCTATCCCCCAAGACCAAGCCCAGGGCTTTTGGGGTTACGACGTGCATTCGCTAAGTTAAGCGCCCTAGGGTCGCGGCTCTGATCTGAAGGAAGCGCAGGCCGGCACAGGTGGCCACAAAACGCAGAACCTGTCCTGGGCCTTTCCCTGTAGCAGCAGCCACCTACCAAAAAAAAAAAAAATTTAAAAAAAGGGAAAAAAGGG